AATCATAATAAAATCTCATAGAATGGATAAATGAGTTCAGCAAAGTCATAGAACACACGATAAACGTACAAAAATCAGTTGTGTTCCTACATACCGGCAAGGTATACATGGAAACTGAATTTTAAAATGCAGGGAAATTTATAATATCTAAAAAAAAAGTGCTTAGGTGTAAATCTACCAGTACATGTATAGGACTTATACACTGAAAACTACTAGATGCTGAGAAAGGAAGTCAAAGATCTAAATGAACACAGAGACATATTTCGTAGATGGATTGGAAGACGCGACACAGGAAAGATGTCAATTCTCCTCAAATTGCTACGTAGGCTTAACATAATTCCTATCAAAATACCAGCAAGATTTTTTTTGTAAATGTAGGCAAAATTATTCAAAAACTTATGTGGAAAGACAAAGGAACTGGAATAGCTACAATTTTGAAAAAGAAGAACAGAGTGGGAGCAAATCAATCTACCTGATCTAAAGACTTATTATATAGCCAGGGTAATCAACACTGTGTGGTATTGTCACACAGATCAATGAAGAAGAATAGAGAGCCCAGAAATAGACTCACATAAATATTTCCAAATGATTTTTGACAAAGGTATAAAAGCAATTCAATGGAGGAAAGAGGGCCCTTCAGAGCAAATGTTGCTGGTACAATTGGGCAGCCAGGGGCAAGCAAAAAATGAAATTCCACCTAAGCTTACACTGTATACCAAAATGAGCCCCAAGTGAGTAACAGTTAATGCAAAACCTACCACTATAAAACTTTTCAGGAGAAAAGTAAGAAGAATGGGCAGCAGTAGAGTGCTCGCCTAGCATGTGTGAGGCAATGGGTTCAAGCCTCAGCACCCCATAAAAATAAATAGATAAAATCAAGGTATTGTGTCCAACTACGACTAAAAAAAAATTTTTTTAAAGTAAGAAGAAATTCTCAGGATCCAGAGCTAAGCAAAGATTTCTTTGACTAATACCCAAACCATGACCCATAAAAAGAAAATTTGATAAATTGGACTTCAGCACAATAAAACAGTTTCTCTACCAAAAAAAAAAAAAAAAAGAAAGAAAGAAAGAAAGAAAAAGAAAGAAAAAGCCTTAAGAGAAAGACAAAGAGCCAAGCTCCAGACTGGAAGCAAATATTTGAAAACCATATAACTGGAAAAGGACTAGTATGGTGACTATATAAAGAACCCTTAAAGCTCAACAATAAAAAAATTTAATTAGAAAATAGGCAAATGGTATGAAGGGTCATTTCACCAAAGATGATATAGAAATTTCAGATAAGCACAAGGAAAGATGTTCTACATTGTTAGCTATTTGGTAAATATAAATTGAATCTATGGTGAGCTGACAACATCTAAGGCTGGCAAGAGTATAGAGAAAACAAATCCTTCATAGATTGCTAATGGGAATGTAAAATGATACTACTTTAGAAAGTTGTTCAGGAGTTTTAAAAAAGAAGAAATATATATATATATATATGCAATTACAGATGATTCTCAACTGGGATCAGATGCCAGCAAACCCATTCTAAGTTGAAAACAAATCTAATGCATCTAATCTACAAAACATCACAGCCTAGCACACTGGAGGCTAGCGGTTGTTCACTCTTGTGACTGTGTGGCTTATCAGCAGCTGTTTCTCACTGCCAGCGCCCAGCGTCACGGGAGGGTATAGCACCACATCATTAACCCAAGAAAAGATCAAATTTCAAAATATACATTCCATGAGGTGTGTATAGCTTTGTTTTTGCAGCATTTTAATGTTGAAAGATCACAAGTTGAACCACCATAAATCAGAGATTATCATACACAACCCAGCAGTTGCACTCAGGGATGATTATGCCAAAGAAACAACAACTCACATTCATAGGAAAACCTATACCTGAATACTTAGAACAGCTGTAGCCATAATAGCCAAGAGCTGGAAACAATCAGGATGTCCTCCAATGGATGAGGACATCCATCAAATGGATCACTACTCACCAATAAAGAAGAAGCCACTGTTGATACATGCAACAACTTGGATGAGTCACCAAAGAATAAGGCTGTGAAAAAGCCAGTCCCCAAAGTTTATATGCTGTGTGATTTCTAGTTATGTGACACTCATGAATTAACAAAGTTACAGACAGGAAAAACAGATTAGTAGTGGCCAAGGATAAAGGAGGACATAGTAGTAATGGAGGGGAAGGATCACTAAAAAGAGTCATCAGAGAGATGGTGATGATCATGGAGCTGGTCCACGTCCTGACTACACCAGTGGTGGTGAGACCAGAGTTTCTCCTCTTCTGCTGACAGGTGGGGACTGTGAAATGTGTTGCAGCTCTAATGATAGGTTATGCTAGGGTTGCAGCAGACTGTAGCAGCCGATTGCCTATTTCTTCTTTCTGGGTTCATATTGCCCAAATTCAAAAAGTGAAACCCATAACCGAGAATGAGTGAGTGTAAGAGTCGCATTTATTCAAATATGAACAGAAGCAGAACTTCTGCAGTGTGAGAGGGGACCCAAGAAGGGTGGCTGCTTGGGTGTGCCCGTCTAGTAGCACGTGGTCAATGGTATTGGTCCAAATTTATCCTGATCGGGATATGGAAAAGTACCAATGCTATTGGTTCGTCCTGCAATCCCATTCGGGTCTTCTGTTTTCCTTCAATGGTTGGGAAGCACGAGGTTGAGATGGTAGGATGGCGGATGCTCCGGAGGTTCTGAGCTACAGTGCTGTCTGGGGTAGGCATCAGCATCAGGCCTGGGCCTGGCCACCTTGGTGCCACAGATCTGCCTACCCTGGTTTTCCCCGGTGCTGGCTCACGGTGGTGCCTTGGGTCCTCCACATCTCAGGCCCCAGCTTGCGTGCTGAGCTCTAGGCAATGGCCCAAGCTTTGCCACCTGTGCTCCAGCCAGCCAAAGCCACTGATTGGCCTCTCTGGACCACTTCACCAGAGCCTTCCAGCAGGGACCATTGGGCTGGCTGTGCTATTAGGCTGCCAGGATCCATGTCACCAGTATCCTGGCTGGAATAGTTTTGGAAACATTATCATTACAGGAAACTAGGTAGAGTGTACATGGGATCTCTCCATATTATTTCTTCAAATCCAGCTGAATCAACAATTATCTCAAAATGAAAAGTTTAATTTAAAAAAAAAGGTGCTCAATGCCTCCAGCAACTCCATGAACTTTTCCATATTTAAAAATGTAAATTTTTGTGTTTTTTAGTCTTCTTTATAGGAATCAGTTTACTTGTTTTGTCTCAAATATGTGTCCATTCCGTCATCTTTCTGTCATGTTACTGATACCCATCAGCAGAGCAAATAGGTGTGAGAGAAAGTGAGGAGAGTCCAAAGCTGATGGACAAATTTGATCAGCTCGGGTCAGCTTGGGCAGGCAAGTCTGTGAGAACATCAGAGAGGCAGATATTTAGTCTCCCTGTTGTGGACAGGTTTCACTTGCTATAAATATAAAGCCAATGGACATATTTCAGTTATATTGATTACTTCATTATTTAAAGCAGGACAAAGTAGAGTTTATAGAGCTGGCCACTGAAGTCATCTTAAGTCTTTTACTAAGAAGGAAAAATATTATTTAAGAAAAAAAAAGGTGATATAAAGATTAAGGATGAGGAGTAGGAAGAGACAACCCAGAGTACTATCCAGGAGCCCAGGAGCATCAGATAGAAAATAGGAAGGCCAGAGAAGTTCAACAGTCACGGGTCAGAAGGCAACTACAAGCAGACTGACATATCCATTGCGTGCTAGGCCTTTCCTCACATTCTCTCATTGAGGTATCACTATGAGCACTCTAGCTTTATGGGCAACTGAATGAGGTTCAGAGAGCTCTAAAAGTTTTCCAGGGCCATTCTGCTAGTCATACACACCCAGGTGGACAGAAACATCCCATAATACAATCATCCCCATAATACAATCAAAGCCAGGGACTGTCCACAAGGAAGGTCTGGACCTCACTGTTGCATACAGTGGTGCTTCTTTTTGATACCTCTTGACCCACCAGAGTGGTTTCTAGGGAGATGCTACCCTGTGAAATAAAACTGTCGGTTTTTTCAATGAAGATTCTCCAAAATTGGAAGAGAGCAAAGAGACATTGTTTAGCAGGGGAAGGCGCAGGAAATAAGTGTGGGTCTTCCAGTCCTCTCAAAAAAACAAGTTCTAGCCACCCTCTGCCCATGGTGTCCTCTTCATTTCTAACCTAAAGCCATCCAAGGCCTTCCTTCTACCTAGATGTTACCTCAAGTCTTTCTCATCCTGGAGCCCAGGGTCTTCCATGACACCACGCTGAAGGGGGTTGTGAGTTATGGGACAATCTGTCCACTGGCCAATCAAGTATTTTGCCTGGAATGCAATTATAAAATCTAAAAGGGAGGCAAGGCAGAGAATTACCAGTACTTAATGTGTATGCATATGGTTTTCAATCATCAGAGCTTCATGATTCTTTTTAAATAAATACATAGCTAAATGCAGCTTGATTAAATCTCTCCATCCAGATAGGAGGTAGAATGACATCTGGATCCTATTCTCCAGGTCTGGGCAGCTGTTTATTAATTTTGAGATTTTTGTCATTTTCATCTTGACCTTGGGGCAGCTACTTTTTAGAACTGAAACAGAAGAGAGAGAAGTTTGTAACTCTGAATGGCACCCATTTTCTACCATCAATGACTGTGGTGTCCATCGGGACATGTTTTCCTATATCATGGTGGTCTCTAGAGAAAGTAGCGTTTGCCAAGGAGCTCTGGCTGTTGTGGATGGCTTCCTATTGATATAGCCCCTGTGACACCTTGATTTGTCTTTATCTTTCTTTGCTCTGTATAGTGTGGAGGGTGTCTCTGTCACTACATGGGCATTCCTACACTACAGGAAAAGATAAGAAAGAAGAAAAGGAACGAAGGATGGAAGCAAGGGGGAAATCTCTTCCATTAGCAGATTAATCTCAGTCTCCAGCCACTTCATAAATTTGACACATTGAGAAAGCTCGCTTTTTTCTTTCCTTTCCAGGGACTCGAAAAGTGAAATAAGGAACATGTATAAAACATCCCTGTCTCGTGACCCTGTTGGGTTCTCAGGAAAATGAACCCATGGAAGATGGCATGGCGGACATCCTAGCTAAGGAGGCAAAGGACTACTAACTCTTGGGATGCCCTCTGCCAAGCACTGACCCCTGTTCCTGTTGGGAGCTGTTCAAGGACAGCAAGCCTGGTTTCCAAGGCTGGAGGAGTCTGAAAAGCAGTTTTTCCAGGTAAGTGATATTTCTACTTCTGGTTCTAAGAAATCTAAAGAACAACAACAACAACAACAACAACAAAGCAATGTATTATGCTTTGTCAAGGAATACCTGGGTGGTAGGGCTTAAGCCACAGGTAGGTACAGTGCTCAGAGAGGTCCACGAACTCTAGTTGAAGGGTTTCACCAACTGGGCCACTCCTGAATCCTCCCCAGATTAAACCAATTCCCTCTGTAAAAAGTAGATTGCTACCTGCTTCTTAACAAACAACGCTTTGGGTGGTGGGTGGGGGGGGGACAATGTTTTTTTTTTAAAAAAGGAAGAAAATTACAAGTATATTTTCTCCTGACACAGTTTTAAAAGCTGTTTGTAGCTGATTTACAATGCTCAAAGTATTCAGCTTTTCATTTGAAATTCTAATAAGTCCTTTGAATGGCTTGGAGCTTGTTGGAAAGTAAAAGGGATGAAATGACTTCATTGAACTGTGAGGTTTTGCTTCCTTCTTCATGGACATCCAGGTATCTCTAGTTCTCACCTTGCACCTCCTTTACATCCGGGGGATGTTCTTGAGTTGATACGGGCAACCAAAGCACATGTGGAATGGGAAGACTATAGAATCATCCCATATGTTCCTTTATATGTTACCACTGGGGACTTTGTTTTCCACACCTTGATTAGCATGTTCCTGTGATGGGCTGATAAATTGGATGAGTTATCATCTCCATTCTCCAAAGAAATCTTCCTCTTTTCCAAAATGCTTTGCATATGAATACAGAGTTCCTGGGAAGGGTTTTGAGCTCTCAGATCAGAGGTGTTATTTCTATGAACTAAATACATTCATCTTTGTTCCAAATGCAACTGATTGATATAAAAACCAGACCTGCATAGATCTTTGTTCCTATCAGGGGGTCATGGTCCAATTTTATGAGCTTACTCCATCTGTGGTGGACATGAAACAAGGCCATGATGGTTAAAAATTATAAAACACAGTCATATTGAAGTTTACAATGACAACTTCCCTTTGTAAGTCATTTAAAAAGTAGCATTTCCTGGGCATGCAAGTTCTTGAGTCTTGTGGTCTGACCTTGAAAAACATAAATCAAGGCCTAGTTTTCTATAGCCTTTTTTTTTTCTTAACTGCCTAATGTTCTAATATCCTAGCTCTCCCAACATTGTATAAATGATGGAAACTCTTGAATATTTGCATAAAGCTTTAGAAGATTTGTAACTGAAAGGATAAGATGTAATTTAAGCAAGCAGATTGGTCTTTCTTTGGTGATGTTAGTCTTCTCCTTTTCCTTTGCCACACACACTATTTGGGGAGGGCTAGGAAATGACCTTCTAGTTAGAAAAGGAGACAATCACTGAGAAGGCTCAGAATAGGTTGAAGAATAAATAGAAGGAGAAGAAACGGAGACAACTGTCAACAATTGATCTGAGAAATATGGCTGAGTAAAATTTCGAGAGACACTGCTGAAGTTGGTAGATCTAAAAGCTCCATTACTGTGTTAGTGAATTCAAAGAAATTTCATTTCCTAAGCTGAAACCCTCATGAGATATTTATTCCCTGGAGATTGGCAGCAGGTTCAGAATTCCTGATGGTTTTATGAAGCCTGTTGATGATGAAAGACCCCACCCAATTCATATCATCTATAAAAGAATTGTAGAGGATTTTTTTTGTGTGGATTTTCTCTCTAGGATAAAAAGTATTTAGTACTTGAGATAAAAGCAAAGGCATGGCCAGCCTTTTATTCCAGTTTACTATCATTGCCTTACAAATCACCCCAAAATGCAATGATGTAACATAATAATGCTGTTTTGATGCTCAGGAGGTCTGTGGGTCAAGAATCTGGATGGTGCACATTGGCAATGCCCCATGTCTGCTCCACATTGTAGAGGGCCCTTCTGGATGGCTCAGAAGGTAGTGCCATCCAAAAGGGGCAATTCAGTCTACAGACACTTCCACATGGAATCTGGGCTGGACTGTAAAGATGTCCAAGAAAGCTCCTTCACACGCATGTCTGGCACCTGGCTGAGGGTGGCTGGGATTCCTCTGCCCTCTGAAGCAGCCTCTTCATGCAGCTACCTTGAATGAGACTTCAAAATGTGGAACTAGCATCCCTTCAGAACCAATGTTCCAGATCAAGGGTAGAGGAACCTGCTGTCCTTCAAAAGCAGAGGCCAAATTGTCACAGAGTTACTTCTTCCATGTGACAGAGCAGTCCCAAGCTGGCTCAGACTCAAGTGGGTGGATCAGTGCACTCCACCGCTCATTGGTGGAATCGGGCAAACAATCGGTGGCAGACATTCTGAAAATAAGCAATCACATTGGATTTCATGTTCAGAGCGCCAAATGGCAACCCAGCAAATCAACCATTCTACCTATCGGCAAACATCTCTGCCACCAGTTGTAAGTAGCGTAAGTAAAACAAATGTGATACTGTGCTCTCAGGGTTTACAAATTGACAGGAAACACACACACACACACTCTCACACACACACACACACACACACACACAGAATCATGCTAAATCCATCCAAATGATAGGGCATGATAGAAACATGCAGCTAAGTGGACCAAAGTTGGTCCAACTCTCAAAGACTGAATAAGCAGCGTCTGTTTCCAGTGCATTTGTAGAAAAAAAAAATAGCCACTGGCAGAAAGACAGGGGCTTGTGGTTACTTCAGAACTGAATGAAAGTTCCTTGCCCCCAAGTCCTCACCCCACTTGAAGTCCTGAGGCTCAATCTCAAAACATCCATGAAGGTACAGAAATGTAGCAAAAGGAGGGCCACCTGACTTTTAGGCTTCACTTGGGACTTTGAGAATAGGAACTATTTTTCTAGAATTAGCATTGGGAAGAAATGATTCTACATCAAAATGCATTGACTGAGAGGCAATTCTTGGCTTTGTTATCTTCAACTGTATTTTCTGGCACCTGAGCAAGTCAGAGAAGCGATTTCACACCTTAGGATTGTTTGTGGGCATGAGATTTTTAAGTCTTTTCACTAGTTAGAAGACCTCATTATATTTCTAATGTGATTAAAAAATTAAAATAGTGATTTTTATATACAGATGTTGATGAAAGATGTATTTTAAAGCAGTAAATTAAAATCTCATTAATATTTCAGCGAGAGTATCGCGTGCTTATCTGTTTCATCTCTATTTTTGACCTATGGCTTAGAGTTCACAGCATGAAGGAGACGGTGAAATCTGCTCACCATAAAATGTTAATTATAAGTAAATTACAGCACAAACGTTCAATCAGCCACATTAATTCTACATAAAGTGAATTATTGTAGCAGAAAATTTTGAAATGTGACTGAATTTTGTAATCTTTAGTCTCCTTTTTTTTTTTTTTTACCTCTCACACTAACCCCGATTCCCATGTGTGTTTATTACCAAAACTCTGAGTTCTTTTCAGAGTGTCAAGCTCCTTCTACTCACAGTGTTTTGAAAGTTAAATACAGTGAGCAGCCCCCATCTCTCCAAATGATTCTGAAGTGCACAGAAGTCTATTTGCCCCATGGCAACTTCAATGAAATCTTTGATATTTTTTCAAGCTGAGAGTTGGTTCTTGGAATGAAGGGTTGGATATGTCAAATGGAACAATTCTCTTCCACAATATGATCAGAATGCATATATGTGTGTTGTTATTGCTATAATTGTAATTTTCTCCTGGATTTAGTTCTGTTGTCAAGTTACAAACTTAAAAATTAATGCTTTTATTTATTATTATTTTTTTTAAAGCAATGGATCTTTCATCTGGTCTCGATTCTTAGTCAATGGAGAATTACTTAAAAATCAAACATCTTATCCAAAGAGTAATATCCAAAAGAATAACTCAGAAAACGCTTGAAAACACTTGTCATTAGAAATAGGGGTACTGCTCAGTATAAAAAGAATATTTAATGCTGTTTGGTACAGGATACAAGAGAAGCCAGAGATTTTTGCAAAATGCAAGGGGGAAAAAGACCTTTTCATTACTTGGTGCCACTAATAGCCACCTGAATTCAGGTAGCAAGTAGTCTAAAGGAATTGTGCAGTTGTCCTCTGTTCTAAAGCATTCTGTGGTGCGTCTGGCCTCCATCTTTCCCCTTACCAGGTCTACTGCATCCCTAGTGTAGGCTGGAAATGTGGGTCACACTCTGATCATATGTCTATTGTGTTCGAGTCAGAAAGGACATAGTCTCTCCTGGTCTTGTGCCACCTGGGGCAACCATCTTTGCTCCGGGAACCTGCTCTCTGACTTCATGAGAACAGTATGACAGTGGAACACAGGGCAGGGCATGGGTACTGTTTGCCTCCAGCATCTGGTTCCTGCAGTAAAGCCCTGTTTTCCCACTGAGGAAGGCAGTCTTTGTTCCCATAGATAAGCCATTCCACTTAAGACTCAGGAAACTCAACAGAAGGCTAAAGCAGCTAAGGAAAATAGAAGCGCTTTATAGTGTGCATTAATAAGGAAAATGGAGAAATGGGAATCATCGTACTATTAAGAGAAAAAGACTCCCACTGTAAGAGGGATGAGAGAAGGAATTTTCAATTCACTAATGGCAGAAGCTGTTAATCTGCAAATGCGTGCAGGCATTGGTGAGGCCTCCTTTGACATGCTCAGAAAACCTTGAGGATTAGAATATCTGAGAGTCAGAGATCTGGCACCATTAAAAGAAAAGGAGCGTCCACTTCCTCAGAGGCTAGGTCTTCTAAAGAAAATAGTAGAATTCAAAAAAAAAAAAGAAAAAAGAAAAAGAAAATGTGGTAAAGTTGAGTGGTGGTTCATTTAATTTGAAACTATACACAAAATTATGAAAAATGCATAAAAATGATTGTGACGCTTTTATTATCATTTTCTTCCCCTTTGTTCTCTGCCTCAAATTCTCAGTCTGAGTTCGGGATTGTCTACTTCTACTTTAGTTTTCTGTCTTCTAAAAAAAAAAAAAATCACAAACATATCCACAGCAGGCTGTTTGACAGAATGATGGCTTGGTTTTTATGAAAACGAGACATGTTCACTA